TAGCAGTCACTGATCGGTTGGTAAGGTGGAGGAGTCTAGCAGCAGTCGCTGATCGGTTTTTGGTAAGGTGGATGAGTCTGGCAGCAGTCGCTGATCGGTTGGTAAGGTGTATGAGTCTAGCAGCAGTCGCTGATCGGTTGGTAAGGTGTATGAGTCTAGCAGCAGTAGCTGATCGGTCGGTAAGGTGGAGGAGTCTAGCAGCAGTAGCTGATCGGTCGGTAAGGTGGAGGAGTCTAGCAGCAGTCGCTGATCGGTCGGTAAGGTGTATGAGTCTAGTAGCAGTCACTGATCGGTTGGTAAGGTGGAGGAGTCTAGCAGCAGTCGCTGATCGGTTGGTAAGGTGGATGAGTCTAGCAGCAGCATTCATAATAGACTGAAAGGGAGATAGCCTGTGTAACGGTAGACCAGTGAGGAGGGAGTTGCAGTAATCGAGGCAGGATATAACCAATGCGTGGATAAGTTGTTTTGTGGTGTCATTGGTCAGGAAGGGGCGGATTTTGGAAATGTTCCGGAGGTTGAGGCGGCAGGATTTAGCCAGTGATTGGATGTGGGACCCAAAGGAGAGGTCAGAGTCTAGGATTACGCCTACACCCTGGCATGAGGGGAAGGACCAATGGTTATGCTGTTGATCTCAATGGTAAAGTCGTGGGTGGGGGATCGGGGGGGGGAGGAAATATTACAGCTCGGTTTTTTAAAGATAGAGTTTAAGGTAGTGATGTGATATCCATGCTGATATGTCGCTTAGTAGATTTGTGATATGTGAGGAGATTGAGGGGGTGAGCTGGGGAGTGGAGAGATAGATCTGGGTGTCATCAGCATAGAGGTGGTATTGGAAGCCATGGGAGGTTATCAGTTGGCCCAGGGAGGAGGTATAGAGAGAGAAAAGGAGGGGCCCAAGGACAGAACCTTGGGGTACCCAAACAGAAAGAGGGAGAGGAGCGGAGGAGGAGGAGTTGTATGTGATGCTGAAAGTGCACTGAGAAAGGTAAGAGGAGAACCAGGAGAGAGCAGAGTCACGGAGGCCGATGGAGTGGAGTGTAGTGAGGAGGAGCGGGTGATCGACTGTGTTGAAGGCAGAGGAAAGGTCAAGGAGTATGAATATGGAGTAATGGCCGTTGGTTGGGGTGAGTATGGAGTAATGGCCGTTGGTTGGGGTGAGTATGGAGTAATGGCCGTTGGTTGGGGTGAGTATGGAGTAATGGCCGTTGGTTGGGGTGAGTATGGAGTAATGGCCGTTGGTTGGGGTGAGTATGGAGTAATGGCCGTTGGTTGGGGTGAGTATGGAGTAATGGCCGTTGGTTGGGGTGAGTATGGAGTAATGGCCGTTGGTTGGGGTGAGTATGGAGTAATGGCCGTTGGTTGGGGTGAGTATGGAGTAATGGCCGTTGGTTGGGGTGAGTATGGAGTAATGGCCGTTGGTTGGGGTGAGTATGGAGTAATGGCCGTTGGTTGGGGTGAGTATGGAGTAATGGCCGTTGGTTGGGGTGAGTATGGAGTAATGGCCGTTGGTTGGGGTGAGTATGGAGTAATGGCCGTTGGTTGGGAGGAGTATGGAGTAATGGCCGTTGGTTGGGATGAGTATGGAGTAATGGCCGTTGGTTGGGATGAGTATGGAGTAATGGCCGTTGGTTGGGGTGAGTATGGGGTAATGACCGTTGGTTGGGGTGAGTATGGAGTAATGGCCGTTGGTTGGGGTGAGTATGGAGTAATGGCCGTTGGTTGGGGTGAGTATGGAGTAATGGCCGTTGGTTGGGGTGAGTATGGAGTAATGGCCGTTGGTTGGGGTGAGTATGGAGTAATGGCCGTTGGTTGGGGTGAGTATGGGGTAATGACCATTGGTTGGGATGAGTATGGAGTAATGGCCGTTGGTTGGGATGAGTATGGAGTAATGGCCGTTGGTTGGGATGAGTATGGAGTAATGGCCGTTGGTTGGGATGAGTATGGAGTAATGGCCGTTGGTTGGGATGAGTATGGAGTAATGGCCGTTGGTTGGGATGAGTATGGAGTAATGGCCGTTGGTTGGGATGAGTATGGAGTAATGGCCGTTGGTTGGGATGAGTATGGAGTAATGGCCGTTGGTTGGGATGAGTATGGAGTAATGGTCATTGGTTTTAGCAGTTAGTAGGTCATTAGTGAGTTTTAGTCGGGCAGTTTCTGTGGAATGTTGTGGATGGAAGTCAGACTGTCGGGCATCAAGAAGGTTGTTGTCGGTGAGGTAGCAGTTTATACGTTTGTGAACAAGGCGCTCGAGAAGCTTGGAAGCAAATAGGAGCAGGGAGATGGGTCTTAAGTTATTTAAACAGGTGGGGTCCAGCAAGGGTTTTTTTGAGTATGGGGGTAACCAATGCATGTTTGAGTGGGGAGGGAAAGGTGCCCATGGAGAGAGAGGTTGAAGATGTGGGTTAGAGAGTTTAGGATAGAGCAGGAAGGAGGCTACAACAGTCGTGAGGGGACAGGATCCAGGGGACAGGTGGTGACGTGGGCCTTGGAAAGGAGTTTGGTAACTTCCTTGGTGGTAACCGGGTCGAAGGAGGAGAGTGTTGAGTTTGGTGTTGGGCCTGGTATGTTGGTTAGAGGAGGAATTTAATTGTGTGAGTGTCTCATCTTTGAGCCCACTGCTGGCATGCATTCAGTGTCAGAGGGAGGATCAGTACCCCATTGTTGGTGTCAGTACAATCAGTCTATACAGTGAAGAAAATGTGTATTTGCTCCCCGGCTGATGTTGAATGTTCGCGCCTCACAAAGAAATTATCAGTTTAAAAATTGAATGTTCGGTGTAACACTGAGAGACAGAATACAACAACAAATTCAGCAGAAATGCGTCTAACAAATGATGACTGATCTGCATGTTCATGAGGGAAATAAGGATTTGATCCCCTTCACAAAACATGGACTTAGTACTTGGTGGCAAATCCCTTGTTGGCAATCACAGAGGTCAGACGTTTCCTGTAGTTGGCCCCCAGGTTTGCACACATCTCAGGAGGGATTTTGGCCCACTCCTCTTGGCAGATCCTCTCCAAGTCATTAAGATTTGGTGGCTGACGTTTGGCAACTCGAACTTTCAGCTCCCCCCACGGATTTTCAATCAGATTAAGGTCTGGAGACTGGTAAGGCCACTCCAGGACCTTAATGTGCTTCTTCTTGAGCCACTCCTTTGTTGCCTTGGCCATGTGTTTTGGGTCATTGAAAATGGGTGGTGGATGAGTGTTCCAGCATGACAATGCCCTGGCTGAGGGAAGAAGGTTCTCACCCAAGATTTGAGGGTACATTGCCCCGTCCATCGTCCCTTTGATGCGGTGCAGTTGTCCTGTCCCCTTGGCAGAAAAACACTCCTAAAGCAGAATGTTTCCACCACCATGTTTCACAGTTGGGATGGTGTTCTTGGGGTCATAGGCAGCATTCTTCCTCATCCAAACACGGCGAGTTGAGTAGATGCCAAAGAGCTTGATTTTGGTCTCATCTGACCCCAACACTTCCCATCAGTCCTCCTCTGCATCATTCAGATGTTCAGTGGCAGACTTCAGACAGGCCTGGACATGTGCTTTCTTGAGCAGAGGGACCTTGCGGGCACTGCAGGATTTCAGTCCTTGTCGGCGTAGTGTGTTACCAATTGTTTTCTTGGTGACGGTGGTCCCAGCTGCCTGGAGATCATTGACAAGATCCTCACGTGTAGTTCTGGGATGATTCCTCACTGTTCTCATGACCATTGACACTCCACGAGGTGAGATCTTGCATGGTGCACCAGACCTAGGGAGACTGACACTTGTTTTGTGTTTCTTCCATTTGTGAATGATTGCACCAACTGTTGTCACCTTCTCACCAAGCTGCTTGGCCATAGTTTGGTAGCCCAGTCCAGCCTTGTGTAGGTCTACCATCTTGTCCCTGACATCCTTGCACATCTCTTTGGTCTTTGCCATGGTGGAGAGTTTGGAATCTGATTGCTTGATTGCGCCTGTGGACAGGTGTCTTTTATACAGGTAACACAATAAGATTAGCAGCACTCCCTTTAAGAGACTGCTTCTAATCTCAGCTGGTTACCTGTATGAGAGACACCTGGTAGCCAGAAATCCTGCTGAATGATAGAGGATCAAATCCTTATTTCCCTCATGAACATGCAGATCCGTCATTTGTTAGACGCATTTCTGCTGAATTTGTTGTTGTATTCTGTCTCTCAGTGTTACAATACACCAAACATACCATTTTTAGACCGATCATTTCTTTGTGAGGGGCGAACATTCACCATCAGTCGGGGAGCAAATACACATTTCCTTCACTGTATATGCAGTAAAGCATGCTAGTTATACTCACTGTGGAACCTAAGGGGTTAATCCTCTGCATTGTGTAAAAAAGCCATTTGATCCTGACTTCTCTGATCCTGCCCTTGTTGAAAATGTCCACGTCTTATCTCCTGATAAGACAGACTGAACCCTAGCCATTCTGCACATGCTCAGTTTAGTGTGTATTGCTAGAGAGGTTTTTTTTCTTGGGAAAGTGCATGTGATCAGCACAGGGCCAATCAATACTGTCCAGCAGAGGTCAGGAGTTCTGCATCCTCCCAGAGAACAAAATAAAAACCTACTCTTAGAGCTTTAACCAGTGCTCTGCTGGACACTGATAGAAGTCACAAGACTGCTATATATTGCTGATGAGGAAAGGTATTTAGCAGTTTATATTTACTAAAATAATTGTATTTCTATGTTCTGTTTACTGTGGGAGAGCGGATATAGTGAATGCCGGGTCCGGGGAGAGCGGATATAGTGAATGCCGGGTCCGGGGAGAGCGGATATAGTGAATGCCGGGTCCGGGGAGAGCGGATATAGTGAATGCCGGGGTCCGGGGAGAGCGGATATAGTGAATGCCGGGTCCGGGGAGAGCGGATATAGTGAATGCCGGGTCCGGGGAGAGCGGATATAGTGAATGCCGGGTCCGGGGAGAGCGGATATAGTGAATGCCGGGTCCGGGAGAGCGGATATAGTGAATGCCGGGTCCGGGGAGAGCGGATATAGTGAATGCCGGGTCCGGGGAGAGCGGATATAGTGAATGCAGGGTCCGGGGAGACCAGATATAGTGAATGCCGGGTCCGGGGAGAGCGGATATAGTGAATGCCGGGTCCGGGGAGAGCGGATATAGTGAATGCCGGGTCCGGGGAGAGCGGATATAGTGAATGCCGGGTCCGGGGAGAGCGGATATAGTGAATGCCGGGTCCGGGGAGAGCGGATATAGTGAATGCCGGGTCCGGGGAGAGCGGATATAGTGAATGCCGGGTCCGGGGAGAGCGGATATAGTGAATGCCGGGTCCGGGGAGAGCGGATATAGTGAATGCCGGGTCCGGGAGAGCGGATATAGTGAATGCCGGGTCCGGGGAGAGCGGATATAGTGAATGCCGGGTCCGGGGAGAGCGGATATAGTGAATGCCGGGTCCGGGGAGAGCGGATATAGTGAATGCCGGGTCCGGGGAGAGCGGATATAGTGAATGCCGGGTCCGGGGAGAGCGGATATAGTGAATGCCGGGTCCGGGGAGAGCGGATATAGTGAATGCCGGGTCCGGGGAGAGCGGATATAGTGAATGCCGGGTCCGGGGAGAGCGGATATAGTGAATGCCGGGTCCGGGGAGAGCGGATATAGTGAATGCCGGGTCCGGGGAGAGCGGATATAGTGAATGCCGGTCCGGGGAGAGCGGATATAGTGAATGCAGGGTCCGGGGAGAGCGGATATAGTGAATGCGGGGTCCGGGGAGAGCGGATATAGTGAATGCCGGGTCCAGGGAGAGCGGATATAGTGAATGCAGGGTCCGGGGAGAGCGGATATAGTGAATGCCGGGTCCAGGGAGAGCGGATATAGTGAATACTGGGTCCGGGGAGAGCGGATATAGTGAATGCGGGGTCCTGTAATAAGCTACAGGCTTGTAAATCAGTGACAATTCTAAGAGCCCCATCCTCTACATCACATTTGTCAAACACAAGGCCCAGGGGCCAAATCTGGCCCACCAGGCCAATTCATGTGGCCCTTGCTCCCCGGGACTATTTTTTGCCAGAACGTGGCAGAGTGGTGCAGAGGCCAAAACTGAGAAGGAGGGGTGGAAGGGAGATGTGGACAGCCTGTGAAAGAGCTGAACACTGGCAACCCTAATGCTGATGCAGCCTGCGACTAAAATGACTAATATTGTGCATGCAGCTACAGCCCACATGAGGGTTCTAAATTCAAGAAAGGGTAAGTGAGCGTAGCACCAATATATCCGCCAGCTGAAATAAGGTTAATCGGCAATGCCACAGCGCCTGGCCACCGGCTTCAGTGCCACAGCGCCTGGCCACCGGCTTCAGTGCCACAGCGCCTGGCCACCGGCTTCAGTGCCACAGCGCCTGGCCACCGGCTTCAGTGCCACAGCGCCTGGCCACCGGCTTCAGTGCCACAGCGCCTGGCCACCGGCTTCAGTGCCACAGCGCCTGGCCACCGGCTTCAGTGCCACAGCGCCTGGCCACCGGCTTCAGTGCCACAGCGCCTGGCCACCGGCTTCAGTCCAAAAGCGCCTCCCACTGACTTGACCAGTATTCAAGTTTTATTAAATTTTATATACATGTAATTCTTTTTCTGTCCAATTGTGTCATTTTCAATGAAAGGTAATTTTTAAGTTACTGGATTGTATTTTTTAAATTCATAATCATTTAAATTTATGATATTACTTAAAAAAGTTGAACACACACACACTATTTTTTTTTTATTTATTTATTTTTTTTTTAAACTTCCCATTTTGGTTTCAGTCCAGAAATGTCATTTCTGTGCACCACTATATATGGATCCTTTCCACACCGTGTATGCAGGATGGGTATAAAAGGTGAGTGAGGGGAACATTTTTATAGGCTACGTTCACCTTTAAGTAAAAAAAAAAAAAAAAAATGCACATACTTTTGCAGGGGGAAAAGGGGGGGGGGGGGGGGGTTGGGCAGGGGCGGAGGTGCATTTTATTTAGGCTTGCAAAGCATTGCACCAACAATTAGTGACTGGCGGGTGCAATGACAGGCTCCTGCACGCTCTCCCTCCAGCTGTTGGAATCTGCATCCATGGCTATCCAATGGCCCCCCCCCCCCCCCCCCCCCCCCACCCCCCCCCCCCCCCCCCCCCCCCCCCCCACCCCCCCACCCCACCACCACCCCCCCCCCCCCCCCCCCCCCCCCCCCCCCCCCCCCCCCCCCCCCCCCCCCCCCCCCCCCCCCCCCCCCCCCCCCCCACCCCCCCCCCCCACCCCCCCCCCCCCCCCCCCCCCCCCCCCCCCCCCCCCCCCCCCCCCCCCCCCCCCCCCCCCCCCCCCCCCCCCCCCCCCCCCCCCCCCCCCCCACCCCCCCCCCCCCCCCCCCCCCCCCCCCCCCCCCCCCCCCCCCCCCCCCCCCCCCCCCCCCCCCCCCACTCCCCCACCCCCCCCACCCCCCCCCCCCCCCCCCCCCCGGTGATTATCTGCCCCCCCCCCCATAAATCTTGCTAGCTTTGGAATGTGCCCCCCCCCCCCACACTGGAAGAGACTCACACTGACACACATAAGTGTGATGCAAACATCACGTGAGAGCAGCATAAGCATTATATTAGTCTTTGATTGGTCACTTTAAATGAAAACAATCTTCTCCAGAATATATAGGCGTGATCTCGGCTGAGGTCTTATCTCTAGAAAGAAATATTCCTTTGTTCTCAAGTTCATTCGATGGGAGTGGTTGCTGAGCAGACTTTTCTTGAGCAAGGATTACCAAGTACCACAAAGCCCAGCAGGCAAAAAATATACACACACACACATATATATATATATATTTTCATACAAAAGATTTAGAAATATAAAAAAGTATAAAAGTATATATGTATAAAAATGTATAGAAATATGTATATATTCAACAGGAAACCAAATAGGCATTTACCATATCCATCACACCACCACCTACCTACCCTACCCACCACCACCTACCCTACCACCACCACACTCACCTTGGTGTTCCTGAGGAGCAGTCTCAGGGTCCAGGAACGAGGCTTTATCTGCTTCAAGACTCTGTGCGTCTACAGAAAGGTACTCCGGAGCCTCATCTGACTCTTCAAACTCAAAATCGCCTGTGAAAACACCATTTATTGCTCATGAATGAAAGGGTCTGGAAAGTCCACCCACAATGCCCATAGAAACCACAATATTGGATATTATTACATATTGGATTGTCTCTCAATAGAAATAAGAGTTCTCCATGCACAGGCCTCCACCATTCATAGAGCAAACATTAATCTGCAGCTGACATTTCTCTTACATGTCTCATGCTCCTGCAGCTGCTGATCCAGCAATCCAGGTAGAAGCTGGCTCTCTGTGACCGCCTGACAATCCGAGACCGAAGCGTCAAACAGCAAATCCTCCGCCTGCAAAGGATGCAGATCTCCAAGATCTGCAACAGGAAAAAAAGTTCATAATTAAAAGAGACCCGGCTATCAACTTGCATGGTTGTCCTACCCGGTAAGGGCTTGTTCCTGTGTGTGGGAAGGACTGTTCCTCTGAAAAGCGATCTGTGCGCACATCGCTTTTCAGGTGTTTGACAGGTCGCCTCTTCACTGTCCAATTTAACCCTACAATTGCTATACTGCTGCCCCACAATCATGCGGTTATGGAGTGGCCCCATAGATTTCCATTACGGATTACAGCGACGTGTTGTGTAATGTGGAACTTCGATCTCTCAATCGGTAGTGACGATTTTTAACCCTTTGGCTGTTAGCGATAGATAGAAAAGTATATTATATTTACATGGTTCACCCACTTGACAACCGCACTATAGAAGAATGACGGTTGTCCAGTCCTGGGAGGGTGTCCTATGACGTCCTCCCCACTCGCCCCCGGCGATCTCCGTGATCGCTGTGTTCTACAGCTGATCATGTGATGTGTTAAAAGGCCAATCACAGCGGCCTTTTACCACGTGATCAGCCGTGTCCAATGGCACAGCATATCACCGGTAAATGCAGTTGCCGGTTATCGGCTGCACTTTCCTCACGATGTCACAAAGTGAGGAAAGTACTGCCGATAACCAGCAATTGTCAGAGAATGGATCAGCACCAATAATCAGTGCCCTGCAGTGCCACCCACCTGTGCCCTGCAGTGCCACCCACCTGTGCCCTGCAGTGCCACCCACCTGTGCCCTGCAGTGCCACCCACCTGTGCCCTGCAGTGCCACCCACCTGTGCCCTGCAGTGCCACCCACCTGTGCCACCCACCTGTGCCCTGCAGTGCCACCCACCTGTGCCACCCACCTGTGCCCTGCAGTGCCACCCACCTGTGCCCTGCAGTGCCGCCATTCAGTGCCACCCAGCAGCGCCCATCATTGTTGCATATCTGTGCAGCATCATCAGTGCCGCCAAATCAACGCACATCAGTGAAGAAGAAAAAAAATACCAGTTTGCTAAATTTTATAATAGAAACAAAGAAACTTTTTTTTTCTTCAATTTTCTTGCTTTTTTTTTTTGTTTGTAGCACAAAAAATAAACCCCCCAGCGGTGATTCAATACCACCAAAAGAAATCTCTATTTGTGTGAAAAAAATTAAACACATTTCATATGGGTTCAGTGTCGCATGACCGCGCAAATGTCAAAGTGCAACAGTGTTGAAAGCTGAAAGTTAGTCAGGGCAGAAAGGGGGTATAAGTGCCCGGTAGGCGAGGGGTTAAACTTTTTTTTTTTTTTTTTTTTTACAATTCTTTAGTTACTTCCTGCTATTCAGGCCTAGGCAAATGATATCATACTTCCTAGGCGTCTCCAGGAGGGGTTCTCTCAGCTAAGCACACTCTCTCCTCTCTGCATGAGCTAGGGGCAGATGGTATCCAGGAGGTAAATGCTACATAAAATATTCTGCCCTTACTCAAGATGGCCACGGCTAGAAATGCTGGGGGGTTCAAAGTGATAGGTCAGCAAAATAAAGCATGTAGGCATGGATGGCTGGGGGAATTCGCTTTGAATAAAAATGAATTAAATAGCTTTTTTTGTGGTGCTGAGACGCAGTGTAGTTCCGCTTTAAATTTTGCAGCAGTTGTGAAGCACAGCTGTATGTTAGCATTCAGGCAGGTGGTTGGTCACAGTTCTACCGCTTGGTTTTACTGCCCCCCGGCCACACGTGGGAACAAAACCTTATTGTTACCTTCAGTGCTGTATTTAGGTTTCGTGCTGCCCTAGGCAATACAAAAATAGTCTCCACCCCCCACCACCACCACAGAGAGACCCTGACACTGACCAACACCCCCCTCCCCCATGAAGAGACCCTGACACTGACCAACACCCCCCTCCCCCATGAAGAGACCCTGACCAACACCCCCCTCCCCCATGAAGAGACCCTGACACTGACCAACACCCCCCTCCCCCCATGAAGAGACCCTGACACTGACCAACACTCCCCTCCCCCATGAAGAGACCCTGACACTGACCAACACCCCCCTCCCCCCCCCATGAAGAGACCCTGACACTGACCAACACCCCCCTCCCCCATGAAGAGACCCTGACACTGACCAACACCCCCCTCCCCCATGAAGAAGCCCTGACACTGACCAATACCCCCCTCCCCCATGAAGAGAGCCTGACATTGACCAACAACACTTCAGCCCTCCCTCCACCCAAGAGAGCCTTCCACTACCCTCATACACTGACAACCCCCCCCCACACCCCGGCGAGAGAGAGAAGACACTTACCTTCACAGGTCCGGACATCCCTGGAAACAAGAGTCAGGCTCTGCATACACCATCAAGAAGCCCTGGGCCTCTCTCAGATCTCACCTGGTCCCCATGCCGCGTGTTTCACTTTTTCCACTCCTTTTGGGGGGCGGCGCTGCCCCCCTGAAAAATGTTGCTGCCCCCCTGAAAAATGCCGCCCTAGGCAAATGTCTTGTTTGCCT